CCGCCCCCGGCGCCCCGGGGCGGGGTCTTGTCCGGGAGCCTGAAGCCGCCTGGCATGCGGGGCCCTGGCTCAGCTGGGAGCAGGAGTCTAGCAAAGGGCAACACATGCGCTTGCTCCATTATCTTTTTTTGTTGTTTTTATGGTGGCAGTTTGATGACCTGAACTTGAGCACTGTTCCCTAGTCTCCTGGGGCAGAGCCATGCTGATGTTCATGTCACCAGTGTCAGGCTTAAGGCTAGCAGAGGCAATGACCCGGGCAGGCTGAGGGGGCCGGGCTGCCAATGGCGCAGTGCTCCGCGGCCAAGCACTACAGCAAGCCCCACCAGGAAAGCCAGTAGCTTCTCGCCTCGGTAAATAACCACAGGGTGTCACTTTTGGCTTAACTAGTTGCATTTTTACACACTTCAGATTCAAACATGCACATGCCAAAGGGGTTGTGCTAGCTCTCCCCGACAGTCTTGCCCTGTCCCACCCCTGCACGCTGTAGGAGACAGGTGTATCTGGAAAGACTGACTGCTGCCTGTGGGGGCATCCCCCCCAGCTGTAATTACTGAGGTGGTTCAGTTGAATTTCACCCCCCCAGGTCAGTTTTATTGCACTCTTTTATTTACAGAAAACACAGAAATAAAGCATTAAATGTGTTGGGTTTTTACCAAACTGCCCGATCACTTTTTTTCTTCCTTTTGTGTTTTTTTTTCTTTTATCTTTTCTATTTTTTTTTTCTTTTTGGCACAAAGAAATATCACAGCTGTTACCAAACAACCAGGTATCGGCAACTGACCAACTGCCCAGCTCAATAACATGACTTAAACAGACAGACATATTGAACTGAGACTGAAAGCAAGGAGGTTGTTCCACATTCAGCATAACTTGCTCACCAGAGGACAAGGGGAGTTATTCTGGAGGGGACAAGATCATTCATAAATTATATTTATATTTACCTCTTACATTGTAAAAGTAAACAGTGCAAAAGTACAGTACCCCAGGTACCCTTTCAGTTTGGAAAGCTTGACGGTTGTCTTTTACATTTTGTGTGTTTTGTAAACATTGTTACCCATCCACAGTTCTAGCTCTTGCTTGGAGAGACCCAGTTCCTCTTGCATCCGAAGCGTGTTGTGAGAGGTGGCAACCACTTCCCCTGGACTCCGCTCAGAGAGTCCCGCTCACGATTTAGTGCAAATTTTGGAGAGAGAAAAAGACAGAAGAGAGAAGGGAAGGAGGAGGGAACAAATCAAAAGAAAACAAAATAAGGCAACAGTTAGAAACAGTCCGTATCAAAAATAGGGCCTGCCACCCCAGGGCTGCGTTACGAGAAGGGCAGGAAGTCTCTGTCTTCCACGAGGCTGACGGAGAGGTTCTTGAGCTCTTCCTCGGAGCTGGCTGTTCTGTAGCCGAGCTGCGCCAGCACCTGCTGGCAGGCGCGCTGGGTGAATGCCACGATCTCGTAGGACAGCCGGAAACGCCACTTCTCCGCTGTCGCCGCTGAGTTTCGCACCGTCCCGTACTTGTGTTTGGACGAGGACCGGTCTCCTCGGGTGTTGTTCTGTATCCAGCGCTCCACGTTGCTGTCCATGGGGATGCCCAGGAAATCGTAGATCTCCTCAGTCTTTTTCATGGGGTTCCTGGCCAGGTCTTCATACCTCACCAACATGTATTTGCCTTTGAGCCAAGGTGGCCGGTTGAGGCCGGTGGAAACAGAGTTCCAGAAGTCCTCACACACGGTGGTGAGCTGGGTCACGTCCAGGTTGTACGGCTTCCTGCCAGTGCCATCCCAGATCCTCCAGAGCCGGTAGGTGTCCCGGAAAGTCTCACTCCGGGATGCCAGGATCCCTCGGGGATCCCTCACCAGCTGGATGACCTTCAAGTTCAGGCGCGGGTCCTCCACCAGGGCCCGCAGGTCGCTGACCTCGGGCACCCGCACTGTTTTGATGGCGACGTGCCCATGCTCTCTGCAGGACTCGGTGGCCAGTGTCAGGTTCAAGGTACCACATTTCTTCACGCAGTCTCCTTCCTCCAGGTGCAGATCGACAGCTCCCAGAGACTCGCAGACGGGTGGCGAGCACAGCGCCTTGCTGGCTCCTCTGCGGAAGAGTCGGTCAGTCGTGTGGTTGACAGGCTGCGGCTTGATGTAGTTCTCCAGGAAGTAGAGGTCGCAGTCGTACAAGCTCCTCAGCAAGTCTCGGCTGGCCCCCAGCATGACCCGCCTGTCTGTAGTGCTCTTGCTCTGGGTCAGTTTGGGGATCAGCGTGTACTGCACGTGGTAGAGGGGCTCGAATAAATAGAAGACATCAAAGTGCTGGTTGAAGAGCTGTCCAACGAAAGAGGAGCCGCTGCGGGTGGTGGCGAGGATGAGGATGTGTGTCTTCCTAGAAAGGTTATATGCAAAAGTGGGGCTCTCATCGCATAGCCTGTCAGCTGCATCAGCATCCTGGCTCAGGCTGCAGTTCACGGGGTTGGGGATGGGGCAACTGTGAAAGGACTTGGCGGTGAAGGTCCGGATTGCTGTGTACTGGATCGCGATGGATGCCAAGGCTAGTAGGAGGACAGCCTTCCAGGAACATTGCATGGCTGGTCACCTTCATAGGGCTTCTTCACAGGTTGTCTTGGTGCCTGCAATCCAACAGAGAAGTCACAGGTTGAGCCAGGAACTCCAGGTAGGACCAAAATCTTTCTAATCCTGAGTGCACCAGCGAATGCACTGCTGCATACACAGCATGCAGCACTGTGTGGATCCCCAACATGCACTGCATAGCTTTATTTCAGCAGAAAGAGGGACCAGCAACAACACGGCCAACCTGGATGTCAGTCCCAGAGACTGCTTCCTTCCAGGCTAGGGACATATGGAAGTCACGCACCTTACAGTTCACCCCATGCCCTGTGGCCCTGGCAGAGGGGGTTTAGAACCCAATGGTCACCCTATGCATGTGCCTTCAGCCAGCTGCTGAGCCAGCTCCTCCTCAGCCACAAGCCATTTGTCACCCCATCAGTCAGTGCCTTTTACACCCAGGCTGGGAGCCATGGGAAGATGAGGGCGGGGGATCCTGCCAAGCGCTGCCTGGAGAACTTCTGGCCAGCTGGCAGTGTGAGGCATGGCCTGTCTGGGCCAGGGCCTGCCTGCCTAGAGGAGAGGGGCAACGTCTCTCCTGGAGCTTCAAGCATCTCTGTGGGCAAGGCCAGCTCAGTAAAGGAGCTCCCAGGGGTAGGGACCAGCCAAGGCTCTGCAGCTGGAGCCAGAGCTGAATCCCAGCTGCCAGCCCCAGGTGCCCTAAGCACTGAGCTGGGTGTTGTGGGTGGACATGGCTCAGCTGCAGGTGCTGGTCCCTGACACAGCAGAGCATGGGAGGGATAACAGTACTACCGAGGAGGACATTAGAAACTGCATCTCTTCCATCCTCTGTCAGCAACAGCAGTTCCTCCTCTGCAAAGTGTTGGGCTTGTGTTCCAGGGAGGGGCAGCAGGAAAATGATGAGCCAACAAGGGGAGAGGTGCTGCTAGACCTGACACTAACAAACAGAGATGGTCTAGTGGGAAATGTGAAGGTTGGGGGCAGTCTTGGCTGCAGTGACCATGAGATGATGGAATTGATGATCCTGTGAGGAGGAAGCTGGACAAGAAGTAGGATTGCAACCCTGGACTTTAAGAGAGCTAACTTTGACCTCTTCAGGGAGCTCCTTGGAGGAATCCCCTGGGCAAGGGTCCTAGAAGGAAAGGAGGTCCAGGAGAGCTGGCTACTATTCAAGCACCACTTTCTCCGAGCTCAGGATTGGTGCATTCCTATAAGAAAGAAGTTGGGCAAGGCAGGCAGGAGACCTGCGTGGATGGGCAAAGAGCTGTTAGGTAAACTCAATAAGAAAAAGAGCACATACATAATGTGGAAGAAGGGCCAGGCCACGTGGGAAGAATATAGGAACATTGTCAGAGAATGCAGGGATGCAATGAGGAAGGCCAAGGCCCGTTTGGAATTAGAGTTAGTGAGAGATGTCAGGGGCAACAGGAAGGGCTTCTACAAATACATCAGCAGCAAGAGGAAGACTAGGGAGAATGATAGTCTGCTGCTGAATGGGGAGGGTGTCTTGGTGGCGGAGCATGCAGAGAAGGCAGAGTTACTAGGTGCCTTGTTTGCCTCAGTCTTTATTGCTAGGGCCAGCCCCCATGTACTGAGCCTGGAGACAAGAGAGAGAACCAAGAGAGAGGAGGACTTTCCGAAGCTCAAGGAGGATTGGATTAGGGATTATTTAGGCAAACTGGACACCCATAAATCTATGGGCCCGGATGGGATCCACCCAAGAGTGCTGAGGGAACTAGCAGAGGTCATTGCTCAGCTGCTCTTCATCATCTTCGAGAGGTCATGGAAAGTAGGGGAAGTGCCAGAGGACTGGACAAAAGCCAGCGTCACTCCAGTCTTCAAAAAAGGCAAGAAGGAGGAGCTGGGAAACTACAGGCCAGTCAGCCTCACCTCCGTCCCTGGAAAGGTGTTGGAGCAGCTCATCCTAGAGACCATCTTTAGGTATGTCAAGAAAAAGAAGGTGATCAGGAGTAGTCAGCATGGATTCACCAAGGGGAAGTCATGTTTGACGAACCTGATAGCCTTCTACGATGAGGTGACCGGCTGGATGGATAATGGGGGAGCTGTGGATGTTGTCTACCTTGACTTCAGCAAGGCTTTCGACACGTCGCCCATAACATCCTCATTGGAAAGCTTAGGAAGCGTGAAGTGGATGAGTGGACTGTGAAGTGGATTGAGGACTGGCTCGATGACAGAGCCCAGAGGGTGGTGATAAATGGGGGTGAGTCTGGTTGGAGGCCTGTGGCCAGTGGTGTCCCACAAGGGCCAGTACTGGGACTGATGCTGTTCAACTTGTTCATCAATTACTTGGACGAGGGCACAGAGTGCACCCTCAGCAAGTTTGCAGCTGACACCAAACTGGGAGGAGTGGCCGACACTCCCAAGGGC